CAAGTAAAGCACATTTCAATAACTGAAACACCTGGTCACAATCTTCAGTTCATCCAAACTGTTAAATAGCATTTTTCAGGTTCATTACCTCTTTTGACAAGTCAGCCAAAAAATGCTAGTAATGCACTGCAAAGCTTAAAAAGGTGGGGCTAATCCTTAGCTATAAACTTCACAGAAATAGGGTACTGAGCCACCAAGCACATTTCAGTGCATCCAGACCATCACTTTTCTTTTGCAAACGAAAAGCATTGATGCATTTTATTACTTCAAAGGTTCTACTCACTTCTCCAGAACTGATAGCTGTTACTTCACATGCCTGATGAAGAAAGTTCTGCACATGTGCAAAGCCTGGAATGAAACCCCAGTCCTACATGGATAGAGTATACTGCAGCAGTCGAAAATGCAATCAACATTAAAATATAGGCCTCCATCAATAAGAGGTCAACACTTCCTCCATCCATAGTAGTCTACATGAGCACACTGTATAAGCTCATTCTTTCCTTGGCATTGTTGACTTGACATGTTTATTGTAGTGATCATTTTCTTGATTTCAAGAATGATGCAAATTTTTGAGTTTCAGCTAGAGCTTCTGATATAATTTTGATATAATTTATTATATTTTCTTATACTAACTTGATTTCTTTTTTTTTAATTAAATTATGAAATTTTTGGGCATGTGTTCTCAAGTCTGTGATATTGTTTCTTTGATAGGACTATTCCTCATTGTTATTTACCTAGTTTTCAGGTTTCAATACTTACAATTTTTGTCAATAAAAAATTACAAAACCTATGACCCACCAGCAAACCAGACCATAAAAATCCACAAATTCAGTTTTTTAGAAGTTATTACATACAATTACTTGTATATCTACATTTCTGAAACCTCTCTAGGTCCAGACTCTACTTCATAGGAGTTGTCTTATTTTCTTCCAATGGTGACTGTAATTATTCAGATGGTGAGAAATGTTACCACCATTGTACATCATGTGGTTGGTTTATCTCAAGTCCAGAACTCATGGCCTCCTGCTTCTTCACCTACTGATAAGCTTGCTTTTCTTTGGACATTTTTGATAAACTCTCCCCTCAACCTGCCTTTGCTTCTAATTCTTCTCTCTCTCTTTAGGACTACTTAACACCCACCTTTGTCTTTGCTACTCTGATAATTCAGGTAAATAACATTTGTTTTTTTTACTCCAGTGAGCTTTTTGCATTTACCTCAGCTCATAAGACATTTTCCCCCTCTTCCTCCCTCACCTTTTTGTTACATATTGCAAATTCTTCCAGTCTATGCCTTGTGTTGATTCTCAGTTTCTACACATCTTTCTTGAACTTAAAGATTCCTCCTCTGTGGCTTCATACTTTAACTCTTTTTTTACTCTCTGTCTTCTATTCTTTGTCTTTTGTTTTACTCTACTTATTCGTTTTTTCTGAGGATCTGGATCACTACTACCCCAAAAGCAAGGTCCCACAGGGTTTATCTTAGATGCCTTTATGATCATTCACGGTTCACATCTGTCTGTTTTTCACTAAGTTCTGAGGGTATTCACATAAAGACTGCACTTGTTGAATTTGCATTTTCACAATTATCTAGGCATTTGGCAACTTCTAGTCCCATCATGGAAGGCATCATTTGCTGTGATCTCCATTCTCCATTGGAAATTTGCTCATTTGGTTTGGCTAATCAGTATTAATCAGTATTAGGTTCCTTTCAGTATCTCATTTATTTGATTCTTTATCATCACATTTGCTGGGTGAACTGATCCTTCTCTACCTTATTAACATATGTTTTCAAGGCTATTATGCTTCTTTTCCTGCATGAGGTTCTGTCATTTTTGGAACCTTTCGCTTCTGTTGTGTCCACTGCAGTGGATTCTAGCATATCAAGATAAAATACTGTTATCCACTGTCTTCTCTTGTCTCTCTATCTCCATATCTTTCCCTCTTGTTTTCATGTTTGCTCAAATGTTTCCATATGACTCTGAGCATTGATATTCTTCCACCCCACTCGGACTTCCACATATTCACAGATAACTTTCTGGCTGGGTGGGGTGGAGTTCTGGATAACTTCACCATTTAAGTGTTCAGTCTCCTGCAGAACAGTATTTCCATATCAATATCCTTGAGATGTGGACAGTTCAACGGACCTACTACCATCTTTTGTTACAAATATCTGGACATCCTGGTTTGATCTATTTCACTGTCATTTCTTACATAGACTCACCGAGAGGTATTTACTCTTGGGACCTTTGCTTCTTGTTCTCTAGCTCCACTTTGAGGCTCATGACAATAACATCTGGTTGTTGGCCTTCCATGTTCTGGAAGCTTTAAATCTGGTGGCAGGTCAGTTTTCATGCCCATACCAAATCCTTCAAGTAAGTGATCTTTACATCTACTGATGTCTCTGTAAACTTGTTCCCACTTTTATTGGTGCATTAGTTACTCCCTTCTACACCAAGCTTCCAATTTTTTGGGTGCCAGTCCCAAATTCCCTCCCCCCCCCCCCCGACGTCTGGATTGGCCTTCTCTTTTTTGTGTGCCTATTCTTTTAAACACTTAACAAGGGTGTTGTGTTTAATTCACACACTTATTGTCAGGTTCCTTTCTTTACTCCTCTTTGATCAGCTCAATCATGATTTCCACTTTCACCTCTTCGTGATGTTGGGCCTTTCTCTTTTCCATTTCAGATGTCCCTTTTTACATTAGTCTTGGATATCCATCTTTCATCTCAATGTCCCACATTTTCATGTGTGGCTTTTGTCCAATCCCTTGTAAGATGGGCAGGTATTTTCTTAGACACAGTTGTCTTCTTGCTTACCCTGGTGGCCATCCACCGTTGCAATTAATCTGTGCAGATGAATAATTTATTTATGTTAGTCCATTTGTCATTACCTTCCTTCAGGTTGACCAACTTTCCTTATTTCACTTCTTTTTTTTCCTTGGCTTTTGAAAACAGTCTTTTAAGTTTCTTTGACTGCCACTTACAATGTGGCTTTGTTAGGACTTTTTATTTTTTATTCTAGCGATTTTCCTTTTCTCTGATTCTTATGGACATTTTCCAAGCATTTCTTATTTAATAATCCTCCTCTTCCAGTTCCTCTTTTGGACTGGAACCACTATTTCATTCTCAAGACTATTACATATTTTCTATATGAACTTTGGGTCACATTTTACATGCCATATTTTTCTTACAATGTATTTTTTCTCTTTTTTGCTTGTAGGAAATATCACTCGGATATATTTGCATTGGATGCCTTCTGCTTTTTCCCCCTTTGGGATTATTGATTTTTTACCAAACTGCTCCTACCTTCCCAAGACTTAGGCTGCACACCAATCACCCTACCTAGGATTATTTTCTATATGTTCATTAAGACCCTGATCATCTCCTTTGGCTTGTTAGAGCAGTTTATAGTTATATCATTGCACTCTTTCCTCTCAAGAGATTCAACACAGTTATAATTAATTTCCTTCTCCCTTGACCATTTTGGTTGCACAGTTCTTCTGGCTTTTCTATTACTGAATAACAAGGGAATTCTTTAATTTTTTCTTGTCACATCCCATAAAGTTAATCATTTCATGGGTCCTCTCTATATTTGGTAAACAACATCATGAGGATGTGATATTGCAGGACCCTTACACCGATGTGTCACCCCAGTGCCATTTCTTTCATCTTCGAGTTTTGTCTCACTTCAGTCACCATTCTTGAATTTTTTGATAACTCTATAAAGAACCGAGTCATTGGTTATTTCCACAAAAACACCTTGACGTATCAAATATATGTATATATATATATATATATATATATATACATATACTGGAGATAACTGAACCCATCACACAGCTAATGTTGCCTCACAAGGAACACTTTTCTCTCTCTCCTGAAATTTGCATTGATTGTGGGATATCAGTGTAATCTCACCAATCTAAGTTTGAAGTAACCTCAGAAGGAGACTTCTTATTATAGCAGTTTTCACAAAAATAAATCCTTGGTTGGTTTACGACTTTGTCTGTAGTATTTACAGGTGAAACTTTAATTAATTAGCAGCTACATTAAAATTACAATAATAAAGAGGGAATGATAGAATAAGTCAAACTTAACCACTGAAACACATTAGGTACAGTGGTTGAAAAAGCAAGAATGAAGTTAATTTTAAGTACACAGTGATGTGTCAAGAATTCACTGTTATTATTAATACAGTTTTCTGTACCATCTTTTGAATTTATTGGCCTGTATGGTCTAACATTAGCAGATTGAGGGAAAGAGGTGTTGGAGATTGAACAGCTTTACTCCATAAGAGACGGAGGAGAGTCTGTCAGTGTCAAACTGTTTTAAGAGAACTCAGCAATTTTGTTTGCCCATCCACCACTCTTAGCTTCACACATCATGAATAAATTACATTGTTAATTTGAGAAAAGAGTCTTCTTACTTGTTTCCTTCATCCAAGAAAATCCTCTTTGACCAAGGTATGCATACACATTTGTTAGCCTGACCCCTTGAAACAATCCAAACCCAATACAAAAGCAAGTTTTTACAAATAGTTTGGAGGTTAGACCCTTTAACTGCCACAGATAGTGTATACTACTAGCCACCAATGATCTTGAATGAATAAAAATGAATTCATAAAAATTACCATATCCGAAACATTTCAAAAACATGCCATGATTAACATCGTCTCAATTCGTGCATTATATAATACAAAATTACCATGTCATTTTTTAGTCAATTGATTATTTATAATACACAAACCACTATATAACACAGTTATTTGAATTACTATATCACCTGTAAGTTGTAACCGTTGACCTAAAACTAAAAGCCAGTTTTCATACACATACTAATAAAAGTAATATCATTACACTAAATAAGTAAATTGTAATTTGTAGTAGTACTAGCAGTAGGCCTAATGTAATGACGTTATGCGCTAGATCAGTTGTGCAATAAATCGTCTAAAGCATTCAAACTAATGTAAATAGAAAACTTTCATCTTACTCTAATTCCTTACATAAAAATCAGTGGTGTCTTCCTTTTATTAATTTACGTACATGTATTCAAAAATAACAACATTCTGTCACGTCTTTACCTTGGCCTGAACTTGTAGTGACGTTGTGAAATACGAAACTGGCGTTCAGAATGGCCTCGCGTTACAAAACTCACGAGTTCTTGTAAACGGAATATTAACTGGTAAAGCAGTTACTTCGGTGAAATAAACACAGAAGGTTTTCGTAATCAACACCAAACAAATAAAAGAAAACCCTCAGTAATTTATACGACTAAAGCCCTGCACAATCCCAAGGTACCTCGAAACCAAGTAAGAAGTTTACAACTTTACACTATTAATATTACAGTGTATTGCATAAAACTTGGTTTATTCTTGCTGTACCCAAAAAATATGTTAAAATGCACAAATTCTAAAAATGTGACAGTTCATCAGACTTACGTAATCATTAT